CATGCCATTAACAAGTGCAAGTTACTGTACTATAAAGTGGGTTTTGATTTTGTTTGTGCAATTCCATATATATTTTCCATTAGGTTTTTGATTTAAGGGGTTGCTGTTTATAACCGAAGTTTAAGTGTTTTCTTAGAGCATTTTTTATGGGTTTTGACAACTTTGCATCAAAGCAATGCTTCCTGCAAACAACATCTATAAATGAATGCATTAGTCTTCTAATACTAATTTGATGTTTGCTTTGGTCTAATGATGTGATTCATTCTTGAAAAAAGAGAATGTTGATTCATTTAATTCTAACTTCTATTCTTAAGAGGAGCAGGCAAGGCAATATACCAATGCTCTAACAGTAATTCATTGCCCTTTTTATCTTTATATATCTTTTATTCTTCTGCATTTGATGGTAATTCTGCTCTATAGAAGTGCCCTCCAATACGAATATGTCAGGGAGATAAAAAACACACAGATAGTGGTGGCAAAGAAAATCATGATGGCCTAGATTAATTCTGGAAAGGGTTTAACACAAGATGGAACTTGAAATGGCCTTTGGCTCTCAGGGAGTTCTATCTTAAAAATTGGATCAGCCACTTTGTTTGCTGGTGCAGTGAATGCTGCCAGATTGCAAAGAAAGTTGAAGTTTTAAGAGCCAAAGTCACTCCTTGCCTCTGAGCCTGGAAAAGCTGGTATGGTTAAGTTCGTTTATGCTATCTTCTTGTTCAAGTGCATTGCTTCGGTTTGAATATGTTTCTTCACACTTCAAGGACTCAACTTCTCCATTCTGTCTTGCTGGTGTTAAGTAATAACAAACAACAAATCAAACCTGAGTAGGTTATTTCTTTCTTTCTGTGTAATAAATCAATGTATGTTTGTCTGGGTGGTTTGCATCTTCTATTGTAAGGAGCTAACTGCAGCTTCTTGCTATGAAATTGAGATAGGATTACTATCTGAATTCTATTGGATTAAATTCAATTTTCTTTTTAACAGTCATTTTTCCTTTTTTCAAATGAATTCACAATTTAATATTTGTAAAATGTTAACTAAAATTTTCACAATCTAATGCTGTATGTTGCAGTCGTAACAATTTAGATGTTTCTTCATAAAAGGCCATAGAGAAGGATTCAGAGATTCAACCTCAGATTTGTGGCCTCTTTGATTCAGATGGGCTTCCTTCCACGATGTCCAAGCTACCGTTCCTCAGCGCCTTAGAGCTGTCATATGATAACTCTTTTGGGAAAATTCGATCAAGCACCTAATTGCAGAGCTTTACTGCATCTGCCTTTTTTTTAATTTTTTTGGGGTAATTCAGCACTCTGTGGGCCTTCTCTAACACCAACATGCTCTGGTGATGAAAGACCTACAGATGGTTGTTCCAGTACAATCAAGACGATGAAGATGAATTTTGGAAAGAATTTAAACCTAGAATGGAACTTGGAATGATGGCTTTTGGCTTTCTGGGAGTTATGGCTTTAAACTTGGACCATCCAGGGAAACATGCTTGCTTCTTGTTGTTTGACTTTGAATACATGAAGATCTGCCTCAGTAACTTGAAGGCAGTACTTTGTTTGGTGGTAATAGTTAATGCTACATGATTGCAAGAATGTTCAACTTATTACCTTGGAGCCCAAGGAAGAGGGTATGTTTTAAGTTTGTTTATAACCTTGTCATCTTGTTCAACTGAACTACGTACTTCATTGAAAACAACAGACAAGTCACCTCTGCTTTGTTTTTCAGGAGCTTCTTCAGAATTCAAGGACTTGATGTTCTCTTGTGAAGTGAAATTCCAAGGTAAGTTTTGTTATTTCAAGGAAAAAAGAGTAAAATTCCAGGCTTTCTTAGCTATTTTAATCCTCAAGACCACCTTTTTATTTCCTTTTTTGTGTGCTAAATTATGCTTTATGTGTGTTTTATTGTATCATTTTGTGTTTTGCTTGTTTTTATTCCACCATCTAGTTTGTAAAGAATGAAGAACAAGCTAGCTGTAACAGAAATAAGACTGAATCTGCCCTTACTCTTATCTACATGTTTTAGTTTATAGAATGGTTATACTTTAATCAAATTATAAAAATGAGATAAATTAGATAGAAATCATGCTAATTTTATATATATATATATATATTTAAGGAGCTCTTGCTTATAATTGCAATCAAAGGTCAGTCTTCTTTTCTTTGTTGCATTCTCAATAACTT